AATAGATGGAAGGAACCTAATAGCACAGAAAGTTTCACAAGTAAACCCTGTAGGCATTTGTAATTAGACAGCTGAAAGACCTTTAAAAGAGAAATACCCTGTTCTTCTATTCTGGAGAAAAAGGAAAGAAAAAAAAGGTAGTACGTTTTCACTATTAATAAAATTAAATAGCCAGCCAACACAATCCAATATGATTGGATAGTGTCAGCCAAATGTTGGTATACTAGTTCCCTGCATACCAAAAATCCTGGAAAGTTGGATATTTTAAGCATTAAGCACTTGCAATAGATGGAAGGAACCTAATAGCACAGAAAGTTTCACAAGTAAACCCTGTAGGCATTTGTAATTAGACAGCTGAAAGACCTTTAAAAGAGAAATTCATCCTGAAGGGATCCTTCAACCTTTGCAGAGAAAATGTATGCAGCAAAATGTATTCTTCTTTGAATACCTCAATCTCCCTTGATTCCCATGGTTCATCCAATAGACCCTCCCTCACAACTTTGAGGTAACGCTCAGTTGCATTTTGGTTGCTGCTTTACAGTGAAAACAGGCCTGGATAGTTCATACAATTGGACCCAATTATTTCTGTGAAGATAGCTTGGTTGTGTTTGATGGCTGTTCTATATGAGAAAAAGTTCCACTGGAAGTGGAACATCAAATTGAACAGAAATAACTGTTTTAACTTTCAAAACGCCCATTTATGAGGTGAACTCATCAAAGATGGATGTGGTGGCCTTCCAGTTCGAAGTTAGAGGGGCTGTATCTAGATCTTTCTCATCCTTGGTGGTTGAAGATGACTCTACTAATGACACTAGAAGGGGAAAGGATTTTATCGGTGACGCGTTTTTTTGGTGGGTTGCTGGTTGGATGTCCTTGTAGGCTGGCTTATCTGCTGAATGGAATATACTGCTGCATTTGTTCACCACCATTTTGAGATGGGCATCAAAGTAATTAAACATAACGTCTAATGAACTGTCAAATTCTGGGGATTGGTTTAAGGATCAAGGGGACATGCTTCAACGTCCAAAAAAAAAAAAAAATTAACGAAAAGCTCTACATGGTTAAGAAGTGCCTGTACAGACATAATATATCTCCCTGTATCAAAAGAAGAATTAAATCATGAATGATTTTGGGCAGTAGCGTCACTTAGAAAACTGTTATATTTTGACAGATGAGCGGTCACATACCAATCTCTAGAAAACATTTATAATGGACATCATAGACAACTAGGAATGTTGCCAGATGCTACAAAATTAGCGAGGTTACTGCTTTTGTGTTAGCTCAGCAAATTATCTAATACCAGAACATAACCCAGCTAACTTGGTTGACAGTTAAACTAATCAACTATAATTATTGAAAACAACCTTCATAAAAACATGTTAGACAACTTGTAATTGATTACACCATACAAAGTCATGGCTGGACCTTTGATAAATATAAATCATGGACAGTGTTGTAATGAGTATCAGAGTATGTAACTTGGGTCAACATCATAATATTGGGGTTGACAGTTGGACCTTGCAATATTTTTAATGAAGTTACCGTTTCCAATCAAATAAATAAATAAACATGAATCACGGTTTCACTGTTGAACAACTAAGTAGTTATTATTTGCATTTGATAAGTTTAGTTACTATTTGCAATTATCCATACATACATATATGTATAGTATATGTACAAGATTCAAAGTATTAGAAATGCAAAGAGTATCGGAAAGCCAATTTTAAAAGACGGATCATGATACACCTTGGATACACATGGATACAGTAAGAAAACTCAAATAAATCCCCAAAAAATACATCAATAACACTAAATCCAAGTCTTAGATGACTACAAATAAAAGCATATAAATATAAAAATGCATACTTTAATAATTCATGTGAAGTAGGAACTACTGGGACATCTAGTGCATGGCACAGATGGCATATATATCTTAATTCTTAGTAACCAATATATTTATTGTTAATATTTATAAATATATAACTTTTAGTAACCGATTGTTTTTTATTAAATTTGTTGATAAACATGGATAAAGAAGAGCAAATGTAAGTTAAAATCTAGAACAAACATAATTATGATAAGTAATTGAAGCATGGCTTAGTGGAAAATTTGTTACCTCCCAACCTGGATACTCAGATTCTAATCACCTTGTTTGCATTGTTTTGTAATATAAAAGTTAATGGTGATTTAATAGGAGAGAGAAGTTAGTGGTGAGTTAATGGGAGAGAAAGTTAATCGAGATAGTTAATGGCAAATTCATAGGAGAGCGAGTTAATGAGCGGAGAGAATGTGAGGGAGAGTTAAATATGGGAATGGGACAAAATAGGAGTTAATACAAGAAAGAGAGTTAATTACATGTGGGAATTTGAATTTGAATTCAAAACATTCAAATAAAACAAAGGATAGCGTATAGGTCTGTATCAGCCAATACAAGCAGATACTGTGACCGTATCGGTCAATGTGATTGATATGGGCAGAACAAAGTGATGTATCAACAATTCCACCTGTGCCACAGCCCGCATGTTGGTAAACTTCAAAAGCAGTACATATCAGCTGCTAGATACGTAACTGGTACTTTAAATCATTTATATGTATGCATGTATCAACATGCAGAGGTTACAATTATAACATGATAAAAAAAGGAATAACATATTGATAAAGCCACATGCTATTTGCTGTAAAGATTCAACTAACGTATCCAAAGGCCACAAAAGGATAACAAAATTGAAGATCTAGAGGGTTGAGGACTCAAAACATTCAGGCAAAATAAACAAACAGTAAAGTGTCAAAATTGAACCAAAACTCAATGCTGCTCATCCATAAATGAATTGTGAATATAGAATGTGTGGTACCTTAAGAGTTCTATAACATTTTCTTGTTGCTATCTTCTGGCACAAAAATTATTTTTTCCTTGTTTTTTGGTGCATAGAAATATGAAATGATGAATTCCATAAAGCTTGTAGATGATGATTCAAGAAGATTCAATCCATGGCTAGCCTGGGAAGATATCATCTTAAACTACAATGCCAAGAAAACTTAGCGTCATGGATACATTTAGATTGAAGAATGTGGTTGCAGTTATGCATAGTTCATCTTCAAATTGCCTATCTGGTTGTACGTTTGACTCTTTTTCTTTTCCTCCATTGTCTACCAGCAAATCTATAAGTAAACTAAAACTAACATACACTGAACCATCAATTCGATTTCAAGAACATTGAACCTATCAAAACAATGATACTCACAATTCCAATAAAAAACAGCAGTAATTGCAAACTTGCAGAAATACAGGCACAAAAAAGAGGAGTAAATCCACATAAATAGTCCACCGGTCTACTTAAGCACAAATACAATCAAAACACTTCAATCAATTAACATGGAAGCATTACTTCCATACCTCTTTCAACTCGGGCAATCCATCAAATGGCTGATAAGTCGCAATCCCGCATATGCTCAAATCTCCATCTGCATCTCCACCCATTATCGAATCCTTAACATTCTGAGAAAGCCAGTCTTGAACCAAATCCAACGACAGCTGCCACCACCAAAGACCACTCAGAGATTTGTAAGAGGAGAAAATTAATCGATGTAGAAACAAAACGAATAGAGACATGAACAAAACAGAACAAACCCACCTTATTTTCCGCCAATCCGAGCTGAATCACACCGCCTGGATTAGTCCTAGCATCGTAGGGATCCTCAGTGAACTTCTCGAGTCCAACATAATAAGGCGAATTATCAGACTTGGCAAGTGAATTAGCTCTGGAGGAAATATAAGCCGGTCCACTTGCTTCCCTTGGAGAGAGAATATTCCAGAGTGAGGGCGACGGGGATGTCGACAACGAAGAATCCTGAGGAGGAGGAGGGGGACGGTCAGGAGGGGCTGAACGGTTCCGTTTGATGTATAGCTGCAAGATGTAAAATAAGGCGCAGGGGATGACTGACCCCAAAACAAGGCCACCTCTGCCTTGAACTACCCCCTGTAAGGGCACAATTATTCTCATGGCAGTTCCTCCGCCACCACCACCACCTCCACCGTAAACTCTTTTCTTGGAATCTTGGTCGTTTTCCGAATATGGGTCTCTGCGGTAACGGTCGTAGGTCATTATTGCCCGTTGAAGAGTGCCATGGAAGTTGTCTCGTCGGGAGGAATCCGACGCATTACTTGGATTGTCTGTCTACCAGCGAGACTGGATGGAGAAAAGGAATTGTGGTGATGAAGAAGAAGAGTGAACAGAAAGCTTTGTTTGCTGGTGGGACTACAGAGTTAGGAGCGTTGTGTGTTAAGGAGAAAGAGTGGGACTTTAGAGAAATTTGCGCCCTTCCTTCTTTGGAGAGAGGATGGGTCTTGTTGTTCGGATTTTTTAGATTACTCAAAGTTACTAAAATACCCTTCAATTGTTCTTCGATCTACGAAAATGTTTAATTCTTTTCTTCTTCTGAATATCTTCGTGTATTTTGTAATAATATAACTAATAAGACGTGTTTGGTTACCCATTTTTAGTTTTTGCTCCATGTTTTTTTTTTTTGGGTACTACTTTTTATGAAGGTGAATCTGCATTGAGTCCCTGTTGGCAGTGACAGCTTGGATAAAGTCGAACGAGGTGGGCAAGAGGATCTACAAGACAAAACACGTCAGAGGGCCCAGGGGATAATTCGGGCAAGGGATACCGAACTATTGAAGTGAATGAAAGCTAGGGGCAGAGGAGTTGGAGCAAAGAACAAGTATGTAAAAGAGTAAGTGTACCATTTGAGGGTGAGGGGTCACCCTTATATAGGCTTCGAGGTTCCCTGCACAAGTGGAGGGAACCGGGTTTATCGTTGCCAAGTGGGCATCGTGTCCTTGTAAGCACCGGAGGCGCTGAGTGGTGCGAACGGATAAGGAGGAACGTGCCATGCAAGTTAGAGTGATCTTGAGGTCGGCGTGATCCCCCTAGTCGTGGGTTGCATTTGCCCAAGTCGGAGAGGTAAATCGGTGCTCATGATGGTGGACGTTATCCTAATCCTATAAGCTGATCTGTTAGTCTACTCTTAAGCGAGGTCAGAGTTACTTTGGGCGATATAAGCTAATCTATCGAGGAACATTCAGACAAGGTCGTGCCATTGGATAGTCATGTTACCCCTCATAGATCTCACTACATTTTCCTTCCTTTCCCTACTCTTTCCTCTAAACCAAACATAGCCTAAGGGATTCGAATTTAGATGAACCTTAATAAGATTTTATCACATCATTGCATCAAATTAGATATCATTTTTTTTATTATCGGACTAGATTCAGATGTACCCGAATTCAAATCCAATATCCCATATGTTAGACAGTTTTGTATGCCCTTAGCTTCAATCATTTTGATGTACTTTTGTTATTTAGTGGAAATAAATAAAGTGCATGTTTGATTCATGTTGTTTGGTTTAATTCTGTGTAAAACCCTAAAACTGGACATTTG